TCCCCGGCTACATTCAACCGTCTTGTGACACAATTGTTCAGACCTCACAGAGGTTATGCACAGACATACTTTGATGACATCTTTATCCATAGTCGTGCTATGAACGGTCGGTCGGATGTGGACGATCGCATTGACCATTTACGAGCGGTGCTCGAGTGCATGCACGAATAAGTTGTACGCCAACGCGTCCAAGTGCATCTTTGGTGCAGAAGAGATTTCCTTTTAGGGTGCTTTATTAGTAAGCGAGGCCTTAGAGCGTATCCCGCTAAGGAAAAAGCCATAGTTGATTGGCCGGTTCCAAAGAACCAAAAGGACTTACGTAAGTGGCTTGGCCTTGCCAATTACTTGCACAAGTACAGTGCGAATTTCGCAGATATGGCTCGGCCATTATCCAATCTTCTTAAAAGGATGTGGAATGGTGCTGGACTAGCACCGATCATGATTATTCTCAAGCAGTAAAGGAGAGTCTCCTTCGTGCGCCAATCTTGGCTTTGCCAGATCCTGATTGATCTTTCAGTGTCGTCTGTGACGCATCTGACTTTGCCATAGGCAGCTCTCTGTCACATACAGATGCCGATGAACGGGAACGCGTCATTGCTTATAAGTCCTGGCAGCTAAAGGCTGCAGAAAAGAAGTATTTTGTTCTTGACAAAGAGCTACTTGCAATGAAGTATGCTCTCGTCAAATTCAGAGTTCATCTTCTTGGCTCTAAGCCGTTTGTGATCTATACAGATCATGCGTCACTACGCACTGCGACCCAGTCGCCTCACCTCTCCCAGAGAATAGCGTGTTGGATTTCCTTCTTTTCCGAGTACAACTTCGAGGTGAAGGAAAAGCCGGGCAAGCAGAATACTTTGGCTGATGCGTTGTCACGCAGGCCTGACTATGAGCTTGATTATGATACGACTCTGTAGTCGTCGGTCACTGACCTAATCCGTACGGAATATGCAAAAGATGAACAATGTGTGGCTCTGCTACGTGCTCTAGGGAGCGAGGAGTTTAAGGACTCGGACATAGAATTGTCGGCACGATTACGTGCGAGGCTACATCGATATTCCATCGATCAAGGCCTTTTGTGCTATAGCACGGATGTGGAGGATACCCCTTGTATCGTTGTCCCTCATGATGAGGAGTTAAAATATATCAGATCCTCTACGAGGCACATGATACTGCGTTGAGTGGTCATCTCGGTCGTGAGAAGACCTACTGCTCAGTTAGTCAATGCTATTGGTGGCCCAAACTATACAAATGGGTGAGCACATATGTGCGTACGTGTGAAACGTGTCAAGGGGTGAAACCCTCACCTCACGCGGCCGCGCCGCTGGCTAGTTTGCCTATACCCAAAGGGTGTTGGGGGTTCATCAGTATGTACTTCCTGTTCGAATTACCGAAGGATTCGTATGGAAATACGGGTATTGTGGTCTTTGTTGACCGTTTGAGCAAGATGGCTCATTCAGCGGTGGTGCCAGATACCATTGATGGTGAAGGTACAGCTACGCTGTTTATCGATCGCGTGTTTTGACAACACGGACTGCCGTTGGCAATTGTCTATGATAGAGATCCTCGCTTCACTGGGAAGTTTTGGAAATCCATCTTCAAGGTGCTTGGCACACGTTTGGACATGTCCACAGCGAATCATCTGCAGACCGATGGTCAAGCCGAGCGAGTTAATCGCATAATCAGTGACATCTTGCTCAGTGTTTGCGCTGAAACGCCCAATCGGTGGAGTCCGATTTTCCCTGTCGTTGATTTCGCGTTGAATAATGCCTTGCATGCCTCCATTGGCTACACACCGTTCTATGTGAATGGTCTCACACACCCATGCGTTCCATTAACGCTACCACTGCGTGGTCTAGGTCTTGGTAGGGGAGGAGTTGCCGATCGGCGTTCTAATTTCAGCCCTGCTACTGTTTAAAAACAGGTAAGCGAGTTTTTCGCAACGCGATTAAATGTCTTACGACATGTGCGTGACGCACTAGCTGATAGCCACGACAAGCAGAAGGAATAAGCTGATGCTAAAGGCAGAGGTTGTATTGAACGTTATGAGGGGTGAGACCAAGTTCTACTCAATGCTGAAAATCTACCTACAAATGTAGTGTCTGCTGTCTTCAAGACAAAGTTGCGCTCGCGCTTCATTGGGCCATTCACGGTCGTCGCCAAGAAGGGACTTGCGTATACGCTCAACCTTCCGCGCAATCCGCGCACACACCCTGTGTTCTACGTTGGCTTGCTTAAGCCGTATTGGGGTACGTCCCACGTGAACTTGGAGGCGCTTGAGCCCGGTAGGTTGGCCTTGCCACCGGTTGCTGAATCCGTATCAGGAGGTCAAGCTGAGCCTCCATCCGGGCTTGGCTCAACTCCAACGCCTGAACACGGGCTCGCATCGCGTCAAGCGCACTCTGGGTCTTACCCAATGTCTCACGGAGACCACTCAGCTCGAGAAGCACCTTCTCATGCTCCTCCTTCGGTATATCGACCACCTCCGAAGCTGATCGATGCGCAAGGGGACCGCCAGATCCATGTGGAGCGACTCCTGAAACGACGTCGTCGTCAGGGTCAATACCAGTATCTGGTGAAGTGGCGAGGGTACCCGAAGTCGGAGAACTCGTAGGAGTTTGAGACACCCCTTCGGCAGGATTGCCCACACGCCGTTCGATATTTTTGAACATCGTGGCAAGGGTCCTACCGTCGACCGAGAGCTGATTCTCACCAATAGTTGCGGAGAGCAGGTGGGTAGTTGGGCACCGCTTGACCAACACCCACATCAATCGGCACAGCCGAAGCATAGCGTGTGCAAGTTCGCAACTGGCCTCTGGCCTTAAGCTTGGCGTAATCATACCGAAGCTTTCGTTCTAGACGAACATCTGCTATATCGGCACTTGCTCTGAGAGCTAACACGCTGCTGAGGTGTAGTTTTTGATGCACCCAGCGAACAAAAGTGTTGTCTTCTTCCTCTTGAGATTTGCCTGCGAATAAGAGGATGGGTATACCCTTCATCGGTGAAACCGGTGCACCCCGTGCTTGCGCGTCAAGTCGCAACTTGTATTGACTTTGAGTTCTCAAGTGGGGTTGCAGGTACCTCTCACGAAGTGCCTGTCGACTCGCCACCTCATCAGAAGATGTTGGCTCAGCGCCAATGGCCCACGTTGCCAAAGAACGACCTGTAATTTGGGTTATACGCTCTTCCACATTGAGTGGTGTGAACCGATAGCCACGACGACCCTCAAGGGTTGCAGCAAGCTGCATATGGCGCTGAGCGCTCTCATCTCGTTCGATAGCCAACTCTTGTTGGTTTTTTAGCGGATTAGTGATGATGACATCGCCCACGAGAAGTGTTTGATGTGGCGACGATGGCGCGTTGGCTTCGCCACGCCCGGCAAATGGGTTTGGTGCAATATGAGGCTGCTGCCTCTTGCACTGGTGAGTCGGACATTGTCCTCTCTTCACCATGGATACCGGTATCGCTACCATAGTCCACCTCCACATCAATGCCGAGGTAGAAAGGAAGAGTCGAGGGCTCATTCGGTGGCGATGCCATGGTGTTTCGTGTTTTGCAAACCGTGAAGGTTAAGGCGTACACAAATCGTCCTCTTCGAGAAAAGAATTGGACTGACGTTTTGTGGTAACGTCAGTCTGGTGGGGAATGTAACGGGGTCACACGTTGACTGGTAGTCGACGATAGGTGTGGCGCACACAGGGGATGGGATCCCCTTTTAAAGTGATATGAGAACACAGTATCCATTGTTGAAGACTGATGTCTGTCAACCATTGATTACGAGATCTTTTGAGAGGTTTATTTAGGACATGAGCGAGTAGGTTAATTACGTTGTTCTAAGGTGTTCTTTTAGGTTAAAAGAAGAAATAAAATTCAGTTCCCATTTTGATCCGATAGACACGTGCCTCTTTGAGGCATCTTGTGATCATTGAGGAGATAGCAACGCCTTGTTAAGGCAGCTACTCCTTGTGCACTCTGTGCGTCGATTCTCTGAATCGTTGGGTCCCCCCAGAACATGGACCGTATGCTCTCTGATCTTGTTTACTCTTTGAGTCGAGTTCTTTGAACCAAACCTTAGCTCTCTGAGCTGTTGACTCTTTGAGTCGAGTTCTTTGAACCAAACCTTAGCTCGTTGAGCGTTTAGGTCTACCTCTGACTCAAGGAGCTGTGTAGCTCTGCTACAGGAAAGAAGCAAGCATGGAAAGGGAAGCCCTTGCTACAAAACATCTTGAGCTGGAGGCCCTGCTGCTGTTCTACCGGGATCCTGAGAATGATTGCCGACAGGTATTTATATCTAATTCTTTGACGGTGGATCACGTGGCAACCCAGGCCTTGGCGGCTGCGAGTCCATGTTCGCACGTGTCTTTCCAATCAACCTCCAAGCGACTGTTAAGTGATTCGCAAGGACGGCGCTTGGCAACAGTAGGGACAACTAACAATGTTGCTGAGTAGCGTGGGTTCATCCACGGCGCGCGGCACGCACGCAACATGAGATTGTACCCGCTGCACGTTGTCGAAGATAGCCAATTGATTAACAATCAAGTACGACGTCGTCGACCGCCGAGATCGTCCACCCTACAGCCGCTATACCGGCAATCGCAAGCAATGGCAGACGAGGTGGGGTTGCCAGCTGGGCACAACAGTCCCGAGACCGCAACAAGATGGCAGATGCTGCAATGGATAGCAGATACTTTCACAGCAGTGCAAAGGTTGATCCAAAGGACCGATCACGCGATTGATCGAGCCCCAATTACAGAACGACATCTCACATTGGCTGGACAACGCGTCCGCACAGGTACACGAGTTTGCGCGCCCAACGACATTTGGCCGGGAACACGCTCAACCCACGCTACTCCTTATACTTGTGCTGAGCAAACCTTGTACAGCAGCACAACTCGAGCGCGGACATTGTAGGTCGTCAGCGGGCCTCAATATACCTACCTCACTTACGAAACAACAAAAGATATAGTTATAGCTACTGCTGCTACACAGTCGGCAACACGTCATGGCTTCGGGTGCCGACTGGGCATTTATGGATACTTTGCGGCCTCCTGTCTACGTGTGTTTGCGTCGGAAGAGTGACGACTGCGATGCAGGTGGGGAACGCATGAAACTGGACGGACAGTACGTTGATCGGTTCCCTGCTAATGCTGCAGTGGTGTGAATAGTGGGTGGGGCCTCATGCTTTTTTCGTGTGCATTGCATAGCGTGGAGAAGGACGCGTGGGGCCACGTGCCGTGGTCCGACTCGTTTGTGGACATTGAAGGGCACGAGCGCAAACCCGTCGAGCACCCGCGCACGCGGTTCAAAATGATGCACGACGACAATACGCTGTACGTTGCAGCAGAGCTCATGGAGCCAAAGGTGTGGGGAACTCTCACCGAGCAGAACAGCACGTTGTACCACGAGAACGACTTTGAAGTGTTCCTCAATCCTGACGGCAGTCGACAGCACTACTAGTACGTGGTGCAACAGACTTTGGACGTGACGGGTGTTGTCGTTAGTTGGCTTATGGTGAGTGGTGACGTTGCGTTGTGTCTCGTTCGCTCTCGTTACGCGTTTGTCCATGCAGCGAAGTGGAAGTAAACTGCTTGAACACCACTTGGGAGCTGTTGCTGCATCGACCGTACAAAGACGGCCATAGCATCGAGAATCCGTTCAACTTGACGTCTCTGGACTCGGCTGTGGCTGTTGACGGCGTGGCCAACTCGCCCGGGACGACGTGCGTGCGCTGGTGCGTCGAAATGAGTTGGTCGCTGGTAGAACTCGAGCAGTTTGACAAGCTGCGCTTTCGTGGTGGAGGTGTGCCCAAAGCATTATCCACTGCAGCAGTCAGCGAGCCATTGTCGGCTCCAGCCACGAGTTCGACAGTCACTGGAAACGTGTGGCGTGTCAATTTCTCACGCGTCCAGTACGAGCTCGAGACGACTGTGGATCCCGACACACAGCAAGTGCAGTATCGAAAAGTACAAGGCAAACCCGAGGATAACATTGTGTGGGCACCTACAGGAGTGATCGATATCCATCGTCCAGAAAGGTGGGGCTACGTGCTTTTCAGCAGTACAGATGACCTGACTTGTGGAGAACTGGAACTCGCAAGTGCCATGACAACGTATTTGGAGGAACAGATCGCCATGGAACGCGTTCTCGATGCCATTTACTATCAGCAACGAGCATTTCACGCCACACACAACGGCTTCGCTTCGACAATGGAGATGCTGTACAGCGAGCCAACGCACCATACGGCACTCGATTCGTCAGCGTTGCCAGATGACCAAACCCCGAAAAAGTGGACGGACGCGTTCCCATTGCACGATCTCTTGCGTCACTATCGACTCGACACACCAGTGCTCTCGTGCGATGGCGATCTCGACACAAGCGGTGAATGTCCTGCAGCACGGAACGAGTCGGACGACATCGTCACTGCACACGCAGATTGCTCCACGGTCTCGAAATGTCTGGAGGATGCGACTCCTTCAACACAACGTTCTCACTTGCAGAAGACGCAGACTTCTAGTGTGCGTGGCCTCGTCTCCCAGTACACGGCGACAGTGCGCAGCTCGACTCAAGAATGGCGCATGACCCATACTGGAAAGCTCTGGAAGTCGGCGCAATGCAATGGCCTGTAGTACGTTTCGGGTTTGGTTTGCGCTGGAGGATCGAGAGCCTTTTGGATACGTTGGACGTCCGTGCTGACGCGGTATCACTGCTACGTCATGCGATCTGGATCACTCCTGTTGTATCGATTGCTTACTCAATGGAGTCGTTGTCAAATGGTATGTGTATGTGTGTGTGTGACTCGTTACCCATCTTTGCATACCCCCACACGATTGATGGCAAAGCAGCAAGTGGATCTAACGCTGCGAAGATGATACAACAAAGTGTGGCGTGTAAACAACTCGAACAACCTCAGGTTCTACACTTGAAGCCATTCCTTTTAGCATCATGGTAACAGATGTGGGCAGAACTTCAACGACAGATGCCAGGTCCAGCATTGACAAAGGAGGAGGGAGGCAAATAATCGTCTGACGTAAGCTGACCTGACTGTAAGCAGTGTCACTCCAACACAACTGGTAAATTTGGTCTCACCTGTGTACGTAGCTATCAGATTGTGCTGTAAAGTGGCACTGAGGAGATGCAGCTTGCGGTCTCCACGCTCGTGGCGTATACGATCAACCAGGTAAGCAATGAGTGCCAGATCAGCCTGGAGATAATTTTGGGGCCTACGACTTTGTGTCCATGCCGAAAGCAAGTGATCGCCGAGGGTGTGGGCAAATCGAGACATCATTGACGCAGAAGCAGGGACGGAAAAGAGTATGCAGCCCATGCCGCGCATCGCGAAGGTGTCGGCCGTAGCAGATATCTGTCTGCTTGCTGTATAAGAGAGGGAAAAGGACGGGTGTATCGGTAACATCATCACGCATCTCGCCGGTCTTGCCCACGAAGGACAACCGAGTCCAAAGGCATTGTGCCCATTGCGTCAAAAGTCCAATTGTAGCCGTCGCACGTGAGAGCTGCACACTATCGCAATCGAGGCAGGTGTTCTCTCCTTGCGGTGAACGCAGCACGCCATCGGTAGGCAAGTGTAACACGACCATCATATGTGGTCGAAGGTAGTCGCTGGTGACTCGATTGGCCTAACTCCGCGTCAAGAACAAAATGCTGACGACGCTGTGGCAGTCACTTGTTTTCCATGACTTCGTGTCTTTTTGCACCTGATCGTCGCATCGCATGGACACTTCGGCATCCGACTTGGAAGTGCGGCACTCCGAACATGCGTAAACGACGCTAATCATTTGCGTCGGCACGCGTCCGCGCTCACCTTTTGTTCATGTACTCACATCGTGTACGTACTTCCCTCAGCTCGAGAGAGCGTTGCACAACGCTCTCTCGAAAAAGGACGAAAAGAGCTGAGCGACTGCGTATCTGGAAATGCCATTTGGCGTTGCAAAGACAGCTGAAAGGAGTGTGAAGAAGTTGATGTGGTATCGAATAACTCATCGACGGATCGAAGGGGCACAACAAGTGGCTCAACCACATGACCAAAGGACGAGAAAAACTGCACCGATCCACAAGCGAAGTGGGCACGAAACATGTGGTCATGCAGAGGGCCAACTGGACCGACGAAGTCTGACGGTACATACCATCGAGAATGGAGTGCAGTCCCTGCGATGGACACACACTGCATGACAATGGCACACGAACGACACTCTTTTCGCACCAGAGCTCCGGACATGCAGCAACAGCACTGCCGATCGTCCTTGCAACTTCATCAACGGTCCTTTCGAACGGAGCGACGCCCAACATCTTTTCATTCAAACTCACACGCTACAGCACAGACGCATTGATTGTTTCCCAGACTTCCGCTCTTTCGCTCTAACGCAGTGCGTTCCACCGCACTTGAAACGTCCATGCGCATCGAGATGGATACCATACGGCTCCTCTCTGATCGCGTTCTCGTGACGGCTGCATCAATGGTCCCGTGCAAAGTCCACTTGCGGCGCGTTCACAACGCCTGCCAGCAACGAAACGACTTGTCCGCCGTGCGTGACATATATCGTGTCGGACGCGTGTCCGTGTTGACTGACAAGAGGTGCGTGGCTGTAGGTCCCCGAGTAGCACGACCCGTCACTGTAATACGGTGGCGATGACGACGCAGACAGTGACGACTCGCACGTCGGCGTTGGAGACGATGCGTACGCAAAGTCCGTAGCTACCGACACCCGACGTGCCGCCGACATGCGACTCCAGAACTCGAGACGCTGGCGCTGCGCTGTCAAGTACTTCAGGTCCTGATCAAGTGGGCAAAGCAGCAAAGCAAGAGACAAACAACGACCATTCGAGTGTCAACATGGGACGTCGAGAGAGATGAGCACTAGCGAAGAAAAGCGATGGACTTTACCTGCACGGACATGCCACTGCGGATCTCACACGTGCTGATGTTGGCGCTGTGTCGAGTGGGCAGAGACACGACGGCGTGGCACATTCGCCTGGAGGAGACCATACTGTATGCGATGGATGTCGTGGGAACGTCGACTGGGGCTGCTCGACGACGACTGCGGCTGCGTCTTGATCTGCAACGGGTAAATCGGTAATGCGCCTTCTCAAGCTCACGCGCAATAGCTGTTGACGGAGGTCTGCCAGTCCCACTTGAGCAAGAGAAGAAAGATCGGCGGCCACACGGCCATGTCGACGATGAACGGCGATAGTGAGACCAAGTCGAAGCAAAGGCTCCTCATCGCGATCTTGTCCATCGCGCCACTTCAAGCACGTTTCTGCTACTCGCGACGATTTTCTGATGCCATCACGTTCGTCGCGACGACTTCAATGCATCGGTCAGTCTCGGTCCACAGGTCGGACGCCGTCAGTCGTGACCTGGAAGACGCAGGTACCTGCTGCTAAGTGCGGCGAGAAAACCACCTCGAGCTGTCGGTCCGTCGAGTCCGTGTTCCTCGTAATCATCAGCCTGCACGCAATGAATGGCCACTGCATGAGTCACAAAACGACACCCTCCGTCAAGCAACGAGAAATCAGCGCGTACCGCTGGTTGATGCAGTGCGACCACGAGAGCCCCAGCGCTGGACGCAGACCGTCGCCACGCGGCGTCGACCGAGCAGCGTCAAAGTCGCCCGTCACTTGGTTGGTCAGCACGAACACGACGCCGTACTGGTCGCTGAGAATGCGCATGCAGTTGGCCAAGTGGAACATCGTCTGGGCGCGCTCGGCGGCGTCCTGCCACACGCGACAACAACAACTTAACTGCGGGATACCGTACCCACAAGTACAACCTGCAAACAGGTTCAGACAAACAGGTACAAGTACAAGTACAGGTACAAGTACAAGTACGAGTACAAGTGCAAGTACAAGTACAAGTACAGGTACAAGTACAGGTACAAGTACAGGTACAAGTACAGGTACAAGTACAAGTGCAAGTACAAGTACAAGTACAAGTACGAGTACGAGTACAAGTACAAGTACGAGTACAAGTACAAGTACAAGTACAAGTACGAGTACAAGTACAAGTACAAGTACGAGTACAAGTACAAGTACAAGTACAAGTACAAGTACAAGTACAAGTACAAGTACAAGTACAAGTACAAGTACAAGTACAAGTACAAGTACAGGTACAAAGACAAACAGCTGATCCCTTGCGGGCCGAGGAGACAACAGGCGCGACGACCGCAACGTGGGACGCGACACACACACACACACCCACACATGTAGCCATGAGGTGTATGTACCTTGACAGACGACGTGGACTCGAGACGAAAGACGGCCGCGACCGAGTCGAGCACAACGAGTTTGGTGTTTTGTTCCGCGAGCAGCGCGGGCAGTCTCGTCTGCTGTGGCGCGTTCGGCGTCAGGTGTCGCGTTGTCGCCGCATGGAGTCAGACGAACAGATCAGAGCACCACATGATTACGCAGCGAGTCAGTGTCGATACGCGTCATCATTCCGCCATTGTCCAGTCGTTCGATGGTTCTGTTTTTTCGTGTGTGTGTGTGTAGGTGTATGTGTACATGTACAGTGACGACAGACAGGCAGACAGACAGACAGACAGACAGACAGGCAGACAGACAGACGGACGGATGAACTGACCACTAGACGCAAGAGGTCGTCCACCGCGTGAAGTTGCTCGACGAAAATGCCGTCCAGGAAGTCGCTGGCCGTGGCCGCTGGCGCTACTTCACCGCGTTTCCGTTTCCCGCCGACCGCCAGTCCAGTCGTGTGGTCGTAGCGTCGTGCATAGACGTGCGCGAGCGCGTGCAGTCGCTTGATCGACAGCGCGCCTTCGGTGCCAATGTAACACGCAGTGCCCTGCAGCCCCCCGAGCGCGCGCGGCAGACAGCACTGAAGTAACAACTGGAGACACAGTTGCGTCTTGCCCGCCGCCGCGGCGCCGCAGAGTTCCGTCAGCAGACCGGAGCGGAAGCCGCCGTCGAGCAGCGCGTCGATGGCGTCGCAGCCCGAGGACAGCACAGCGGCCGTCGCGGCGCGCGTCGCCCACAGCGTCAGCGCCGTCGGGGCAGGAGCGGCCATGGCGAGGGTAGTGACCGGTCACTGAAGCGAAGTGAGTCGGTGACGCTGCTGCGGCGATGGCGAGGGTAGTGACCAGTCACTGAAGCGAAGCAGTCGGTGACGCTGCTGCGGCGATGGCGAGGGTAGTGACCGGTCACTGAAGCGAAGCAGTCGGTGACGCTGCTGCGGCGATGGCGAGGGTAGTGACCGGTCACTGAAACGAAGCAGTCGGTGACGCTGCTGCGGCCATGGCGAGGGTAGTGACCGGTCACTGAAGCGAAGTGAGTCGGTGACGCTGCTGCGGCGATGGCGAGGGTGGTGACCGGTCACTGAAGCGAAGCAGTCGGTGACGCTGCTGCGGCGATGGCGAGGGTAGTGACCGGTCACTGAAGCGAAGTAGTCGGTGACGCTGCTGCGGCCATGGCGAGGGTAGTGACCGGTCACTGAAGCGAAGCAGTCGGTGACGCTGCTGCGGCGATGGCGAGGGTAGTGACCGGTCACTGAAGCGAAGCAGTCGATGACGCTGCTGCACGGGTTTGTATGTGTTTTACGAAACGCGGTATTCGATTTGACAGGAGATAGACACAAACGGGCAGAGCACGAACGAACGGGTGGCTGGTGCGCACAGCACCGTCCGTTTGTATGCTCATCTGTTTGTATGTTCATTTGTAGGTCCGCTTGTGAGTCCGTCAGAATGTTTGGCTGTGCACAGGCGTTCATTCATTCATTCAGCGGACATCTGACGCGTAGGCGCAGCAGACAGATAGACAGACAGACGGACAGGTAACGCGAGTCGTGTCGTGTCGTGTCGTCTCGTGTCGTGTCGATGCTTTTGTTTGGGTGCAGTGAGTACTTGTAGGAAGGAGCTGATGTCTATCCTGAGGGACTGATCACAGATGATGGACAGCATTGAAGTCCAGTCTACTGGCCTGATCCTTCTCGCACTTGTTGTCGTAGTTTTGTGTGCGACTGAGCGCACTGTAGGGCGCAGCTGGATGTCACGTTTTGTCGCCGTCGCTTTTGCAGTCAAATCTGCCACAGTTGTTGTGTCTCTTCCTCCATGGCCAACCATACTGCTATTGGCTGCATAGAAGAAGCGGTTGTTCATGATAGGAACCCTTCGCGACCTACCGCCGTGTTGCAAGGAGCCAATTACAACCCACACGCT